TATATACATATATGTATGTATGTATGTATATATAAATGTATAGTGTTTAGATTTTGATCTGAATTCATCCCTCTTCATCACCTTTTTCAGAGAGGGCAAGAAAAAAACACTTTTCCGAGATTTTTCTGAATTTCCGAAGGTCCTGGAAAAGCAAAAGGAAATTTCTGATGTTGAGCAAGAACTGAAAGATCTTAAACCAGAAATTGCAAGAGTAAGATACGCAGTTGCTTCTGTTAAATTACGAGACTACTGTCCTATATTTCTATACAAGATAGATCAATGAATTTGTAAATATATAGCAAATTATTTTTAGATTTTGATAAACAATATAATAGTCAATAATCTTAACATTCCAGGCTTTGCGACTGCCATGTTTTAATTACACAACAGTATCTGGTCTAGAATATCTAATTGAAGTAAAAAATGCACAATTGAAAGCAGTTCCTAAAAACTGGACAAAAGTCAGCAGGTAAGTAATCATGACCACTATTATTAGCCCGACTTGTGTAAAGTTAATTATAAAATTTTACTCTTATTATGGGAATAAGTTATTAGCTTATTAAGGAAAGAAATAACACCTTTTCTTGTGAAATATTTTTCTCACTTACCATCAATGTTTGTTACACTAGTTTTTGAAAATTGATTGTAAATGTTTTGCATGGATATGCATATCTAAAGCTTTAGATATTTTTCTATGAAGTTATACATATATATATATATATATATATATATATATATATATATATATATATATATATATATATATAATTTTGTATAATTACATAGAAATATATTTAACAAGTTATTTTAGTTCTTTAACTAAGATTACATTATGTTTCAGTACAAAGGCTTGTTGTAGATTCAGGTCACCAGAAGTGGACAGGCTTTTAACAAGATTACAGCAGCTTCGTGAACAGCTGCAGGTGGCTTGTCATGAGGTGGGTAGGTGTTAAGACATCATAGCGTATCTGAGAAATCAGCGGTTAAAAAGTTAATTCATATTGATTTACTGAATATATCATCCATTATGTTAAGTAGCTTTCCATTTTCAGGCTACTTTTTTATTTGAATAGCTAAGAATGACATGTTTAATTGCTGTTTATGATTACACACCATGCTGTATTAGGGTGATTAGTTGAAAACAATTGAGTATTGCATAAGGTTTATGCCAATGATTTGTCTGATAAAACTATATTCCAGGCTTGGCTTCAAGTATTAGATTCCTTCGCAAATCACTACCAGCGGCATCGTCAGGCAGTCAGATGCCTTGCTGAGCTTGATGCTCTTTGTTCTCTTGCAAGTGTTGCAAAATCCCAAGGATACTGTCGACCATTGCTACATGCTAATGAAGAAAAGGGATTCCTAAAGATAACAGGAGGAAGACATCCAATTGTGAGTCAGCTGAAGCATGGAGATGAGCAGTATGTGGCCAACGACACAAACTTGCAGGTACATGGAATCTAGAGACCTCTATTGAAGAAGGGATAACTCTCTCTCTCTCTCTTCTCTCTTTTCCCTCTTTTCCCTCTTTTCCCACTTTTCCTCTTCTGTCTTTTCTCTCTTTTTTTCTACCTCTCAAGGAAATTTGATACTTTTTCTGTACTGTACCTATGACAGATCAAACAGGGAAGCTTACCTCCTTATTCCTGGAATATTTAGCTTAGAGGAGTCATAAGGTCCAGGAAACTTCAAATGAAAATCTGCTTTTTTATTCTTTAGAA